GAGCCCTCGCACCACCCGCAACCCAGGCGGCCAGATCTGACTGAGCCAGACCAAGTCCACCCAACGGCCACGGGACGGCACACGCACAGCCCCCCGAGCCCTATGATGAAGGTTGAGCCAATGCAGCCTATCAAACAATGTGCACAACATATTTTTAGTCTGCATCTACTCAGCCCGTCTTCGACACATATGCAAGAGGCAAAAAACGATGCAAGATATCAAACACACCCTAAGTTTGTGGACGGCGTATCTTTATTTGGTATTAAATAAAGCCAAGCCATGATAGCATTATCTACTACCCCTATAAAAGGAAGAGAGGGCGGAGAACCAAATCATCCTATCCATCCAAACCTGCAATCTGATGGTCTACATCGCTTCAAAACACCAAACACGTTTTATACTTTAATTACCCATAGTGCCATTATGTTTAATTAATTACCCAGCATGCCATTACCTTAATCATCTCCTCTTTCATCACGCAGGAACAAAACCAAAACCGCTGCCCATGCCTCACCGCCAGCCACACCCCACGCCTCGCCCCACCTCTTTCCCTACAACCTCGCCGCCAACTACCGCCTCCACCCGTGCCTCGATCTTCATGCGCCGCCGTCCGCCGGACCGCCTCGACCTGTGCCTCTCCACGCGCTGCCGGACCACCGGGCCCACGCGCCGCCGGCTTGCCTCAACCCGTGCCTCTCCACGCGCCGTCGTATCGCCGCGTCCATGCTCCAGCCGCCCGGCCGCGTCGTCCACGCGCCGCCTGGACTGTCGCGTCCACGCTCCAGGCGCACGGCCGCGTCACCCACCGGATGCCCGGACCGCCGCGTCCACGCTCGAGGCGCACGGACGCGTCGTCGTCTATGCTCCAGGCGCAACACCGGGCATCCACGCTACAGGTGCCTTCCCCTCCGATTCATGCGTCGCCGCCGCCTTCGTCCCCATCCCAACTTGCCGCCTCGATTTGCTCCGCGTCTCCAACCGTACCAAGATCTCAACCCCATCGTCCTCTTCCACCTCCCTCTCTTATTCCCCTGTGCCTGGGTGAGGTGGGCCATGACGTGCACACGGCAAAGAGCGGTTGCGGTTCTGGCACCGGTGGAGCTCCTACGGCTGGTTGTTGATTGCCGCGACATCGACGGGTGGCGCCGCCGTGGAAAGCCTCCATGCTCTACAGCCCTTGCACGGCGAGACTTCCTTCTCCTCCCGCCTTGCCATGATGCGCGGCTCCTCGGCTGCGCGCGCCCCGGGGACTCCCTCTTCTTCCACTACAACGGCCACAGCCTGGGGTTGCTGTCGTCTGAGACCTGCCAGTACGACGACAAGGGGTTTGACTCCACACCAATGTCATCAAGGTAAGCTAGCTTGGTACACGAATTAGACTCACAGATTAGTTCAATATACAATAAGTCAGCAAGCAAGCGATTAATAATTATTCCCAGGTTCCTGTTTCAGACAATCATGATGTTGCTGTTTTTTAGAGCAATGCTATTGTCCTATTGCACACTACGGTATATATTTGAATCCAAGTTTTATTGATTCCACACTGCCTAAATTAACCACTATTTTCTTTTCTTCCTTCAGTTGCTCGGTCAAAGTGTGACAACCTGCTATGGGGTGGTTCTCTTATTGAATATGTGAGTAATATAAGTACTCCTATCGTCATAGCTGAGCAAGCTTTAGTGCATTATTTGTTAATAATGGATGGACTTTACTGCCACAGAGGTTGATCAAACTATCACAGGGTGGTTGTACCTAAGGCATGGTTTTGTGAGTTACAGTGCCCATGTAAGTGTATATATTAGATATCAGAATTCGTTATGTTCAAGCATTAGAACACTGGAAAATTCTAACATTTACCACTACAGCCTGAGGAATTCACCGTTATTGGATTAAAGAGAAAACACCGGGCCTTTGTTTGAGCAATACAAATAAATTATTATGGAATATACTATAAACTCTGAAATCATGATTCATAAGCAGCATAGAATAATTTACCTATAGATTCAGGTGTGTCTATACAGGTGCGAGGAGGTTATTTACCTTCCACTGAAAGAATAGGTTCCCGTGAGCTTCCACTAGATTTTTCTTAATCTAGAATAGAGTTGGCATCTTTAATCCCATCGAGTCGATGTGCTGACACTGCTCATAATCATGACACATTTGTACTGTTTACAGAAATTTTCACTTTGGAAGTGGAAGTAATGATAGTGAGGAGAAGTCAACTAAACAACAGAAGGTTAAGAGTTCAACTTGAATTATGTATCAAATTAATTATGTCATCAAGATGCCTTAGATTTTAATTAGATGAAATTTTATTACCTTGGCCATCTATTGGAGTAGAGTAGAGTAGTCGGTGACCACAAACCCCCCTCGCTATTTTTAGATATTGAGGATCTTTAGGATCTTTGAAGAACAACGTGACTGTACATCTACTCTAGCAATTTTTCATATTGGTTGTATGTGTCCTATAAATGGCTTGGATTCCTATAATAATAAGGAGATCATATGTGGCTGATGTTTTCTGAAATGACCAATTAGTTGTGTTGTTTATCAGATATTCCTAATATTGGTGTTATTGCAATCCAGGAACTTGCCTGTATGGTGTTTGCTAGAATAGAAGAATCTGCAAAAAGGTTGGTATAACCTGTTTATCTGCAGGGATTACATCTTCTTTCTTGTTAACTGTGGTAATAATCATTGATTACAGCTAAACTAATTATAACACGAATTGTTTCTTTCTGTGTATGTGTGCAGAGGTCGGATGTGGGCTGTACATGGGCATTAACTCGTTTCTGGGATTCAGGAGGGAGCATGTGCCATGGAACTTCAAGAAGACAAGAACCATGCGTACCTCCACGTTGTGCAGCGGCAGAAGCCGGATCACGATGAGCCAGAGCACCCGCTGATGAAGTCACTGTCCTCACCATCAGTATGACAAACTTGTCGCTCATTAGATCATGCACGTATCGTCTACATCTATGCACAGCCTGTGGCCTACGTGAATGACATGCTTTGGTTGGCAACGTAATATCTTCTGTTTGGCTCTGCTTTTTTAATAATGATGACAACCAAAAAATACATTATCAATGGATTCACATCATGTGTTATTCTGGAGCAGGTTACTATACATGACTGAAACTGTGCAAAGTACACACGATATGATGTGTTCTGTCGTAGCTGATTGTTACAAATGATGTATTATTGTAATGTTTACATTTGGATGCCCTCGCTCCAATAAACATGCACACAACCAGCTGAGGCACCTGCTTCGTTAGGATCCAAGGAGTGTACCCCTTGGAGCAACATAACCAACATGCATGCACGCACACAGTGTTACTGTCGAAGTACCTCAGAGTTCTAACTCGCTATGTTCACCTGGTAAAAACACCTTCAAATACTACTACATTAATGAGACATCTTCACCTTTGTTTATGAGTTTGTCAGCTCTTCTTCTAAACAGGTTCAGCCTCTATGGTACCAATCTCCGAGAGTACTTCTCTTCCGGTGGCTCAAAACGACAGTTGCAACCGCCGGTGTGAGTGTCGAAGAGTGTTAACCATCTACCGAGGAAGCGTCATTTGGTATGAAGGTCCAACCTTCTGTTGTAGGAAAGGCAAGGTCAAGGTATTTATCCTGGAGGTTCCTCAAGAGATGCAACAATTGTTTACAAGTCAAGTAGATAAAGATGAAAGTACTTTAGACAACACATTAGATATTTCAACTCCCACTTCTCGACAGGTCTTGGAGTTATCCTTGACCAACGGGTCAACGCCACGGCAAGAACTGGCGTATGTATATTTCGTGCTCATGGTCAGTTGTACCATCGTCTGGACCATCTTGTACCAGGTAGTCATAGACCCAGACATATGCAGCTATATATTTATGATACGGATGAAGCCTTGGAACATAGGGTGAAGCGCTCTCCGGATATTGATATCAATCTCATATGAAAGATTCTACGTATATTGGAGAACAACCCGTATGTTCAGTTGATCACATGTCAGATTTTTATCTTTCTTATTATTCTATATACAACCATATTCTTTGAACCTTCACGTAGTATAAGTTTTCTAATGTTGTATTTTTATGGCTACCCAGAGGTTCTCATCATTGATCTACTACTTGAAGAAGATAATGGAGGTAACACGAATGCGAGAAGAAAATACTATACCTGTTGTGCTTCGCTTGGCCTTCAGTCAGCAAGATCAGCAGCCAGCTCCTACCTGTAGTTCAACCTCTCAGGATTCAAAGACTTCCGCAAGGATTGGTTACAAGAGAGTCTTTTCCTTCCTATGATCTTGTGTATATCTTGTACAGTTCTGCTCAATGTTGCGCTTGAAATATGGCATTGGATTGAGCTCATGTGTGAGACTTATGGATTCTGAACCTTTTGCTTTGCAATGTGTGATAATGATGTGTGAGACTTATATATTGTGACACCAAATTTATGTGATGTGTGCAATTCTGTAATGTGAGGCCAAACTAAGTTCTGTCCATTTTATTTGATTTTCAACATATGGTATACCCATGGTGGTCTAACAATGCCTAAATGATGCCAATTTTGTTTGTCTAATATACTACTGATAATTTTGGATAAGTTTAAGACATTTTGTTCAAATTTGTGAAGTCTGAACACACTTTTGGGTGTGGTTAAATGTACCGAGTTGTTTTTGCTTTACATGCTGAACACACTTTTGAAGTACCTTTACATGTAGACCTTATTTTTCTTTTTTCCAAATACCATGGAAACCTAGCACGTAAGCAGGCTTGTTTGCCTAATTTTTTAAAAAGAAACTGCATGTTAATTCTCACATATATTTGTATATTAGTCTAGATGTACATTTGCACGTGCATGCTTACTAGTAACTATATAAAAGAAACACCAGAGAGTAAATTAATTTAACATGTTTTTTTTTGGTGGCAGACGCTTCTCTGGCCGTCGTTTCCAGTCGGCCTGCAGGTAGCCGTGTTGCTCGCTTCGCTTAGCACTTCCTGCCTTGATGGTCTCCTTGCTCCCTCGCGCACCCTACCTTGCCTCCCTCGGCAAACCCACCTCCCGCGCTTCCTCCTCCTCGCTGCGACTGCCGGCCATGTCCTCCTCCGCCCCCGCCCGCGCGGCCACGGCGGCGGCCGAGCCGGAGGCGTCCCGCCCAAGGAAGATGCCGGTGCTCTTATTCGACGTCATGGACACCGTCGTCCGCGACCCCTTCTACCACCACATCCCCTCCTTCTTCCAGTTCAGTACACGCCCCTACTCCTTATTCCTCAGCTTGGTTTATCGCTATCCATTCATGTGTTCGTGTGGTCTAGGCATGCCCCCGCTGACTAGATGTTCGACGGAATGCGTGGTTGGTTCTTGGTGGTGACGTGGGCAAAGAAGCTAGCCCGGACGCGTGGTGTTTTTAGATATTTTGATCATGCATTATGTGGCAATTTCGCTTAAGATGTGCTGTATCCGCTACTGAATTACTGGAATTTTACTTAGGAATTGCTGAACGATACACCAGTTAATTGAAATATGTAAAACGTGATACCAAAAAAATAGTTATTCAGTACTGCAGAATAGAGTGTTATGGGTTGTTGAGGGCTATTCCTTAGTGATGTTTTATATTTTGCACTCATGTTTCAGTACCTCAAGGAATCTGTTGAATTAGTATCTTATTTGTTGTATTATTTAAGTCTGTTGGTTTCCACTTTATCAATATTGCATTCCGTTCTAATTGATCCTACTTTTTTTCTTCTAGAATGTCCATGAAGGAACTCCTAGAAAGCAAGCATCCAACATCATGGTCCGAATTTGAGATGGGGTTGATTAATGAGGTAAGAACTATAGAAGCTTGACTTATTTTCTCTCTATATGATGGTATTTCTGCTAATTCCAGATCAGTAATATTGTACAAATATGACTTAGACCAATGAATGTGACAAGACTGGGGGTACAGCCTAGGAACGAGGGTTGGGTGGCCATGGTACCTGGGGTGGGAGGAAGAGAAGGTTGCGGACAGGGATTATATCTTGGCTAGTTTATTCTCATTCATTGGATCATCCATATGGGTACATGGTGTTACTTATATAGGGAAGATTCAGCTTGATGCCTAGCATAGGATCCCACCTTCCCTAGCAAACCATATTTTATCTTCCATTCAAGCCTATCACTCTCCTAACCAAATAGATATCTACTATACTTATGTCCTTAACTGATTTTAATAGTAATTCCTGCACAGGATGATTCCTAGCTTGGTGCTTGCCTGCGCTATCGGGCATTGACCTGACGCCCACGAAATAGACATGCAGAGCAAATAAAACAAAACTAACGCATTAGAGAAAGATAAACTAAATGATAAGGTACCACATGGTTCTTTATGAATCAAATTTTGTTTTAGAGCAGCAGTGTGGAACCAAAACTTAATTGTTTGAAGAGCAGCACTGGGGAATTGACTTTTATCAAATACGAACTTGATATATCTTTGTGCAGTTGATTTGTGGCTTATAACATTGCATGGACACCATCTTATGATGAATTTGGTACAAAAGCCCTACTACTTCTTAATTATTTGCGGGGCTTTATTTTAGAGACTTGTGGGGCTTATGTTTGTTTGTTCGCATTCGTGAAACAATATGTTTATTTGTCATTGGAATAATGAAACTGCTACTAGGTAATTGCTTGCAATAATCTGCTTCATTGCACCTCTAACAACAGAGAGATAAGCCATCCACGGTTGTCATGTTTCTTCCCTCTATATTTTATTAATCGGTCATAATCGCGACCAGATGTTAAATATGAACATTTCTCTATTATAAATGACTGATCTTCTCTTGATACTGTCACTTCTTCTTTGAGTTAAACACCATTATGTTTTATTCTGTCAGGGCCAGCTGGCCGAAAAATTCTTCAATGATGGCAGATCTTTTGATTTGGAAGGTGAGAAGCACAAAGTAGAAGTGTCATTGAGATTACAGGCTCCCCTTTAAGATTATAGTAATAAACAAATCACTGTCTTCAAGGATAAATAACTTAATTTCCTGATTATATCGATCGTCACGAAATTGCTGATAACCTACATTAGTAGGTTTTCAATACTAAAAATATGAACCCAGAAGTTTGGTGCCCTTATTGTACGAACACCAATCGTGATATAGGTTTTGTAAAAATAACCTAGCTGATTGATCTCCAATCTACTCCCTCCGTCTCATAATGTAAGACGTTTTTTGACACTAGTATAGTGCGAAAAAACGTCTTACATTATGGGACGGAGGGAGTACTATTTTTCTTGCTTAGAAGAAGATTCTTTTTGTAATCCATTTGTATGCCCTGTAGGTCTGAAAGCATGCATGGTGAGAGCATACGAGTATGTTGACGGTGTTGAAGATATTCTTTGCAGTTTAAAGCAAAACAACTATGAAGTGCATGCTTTTACAAATTATCCAGTGTGGTAAGTTCCAGCTTTCTTGATACATATGTACACAATTACTCGTTCCTCAGATATGATTTTTAGGTACCAGTTGATTGAGGAAAAGTTAAAGCTGTCGAAGTATTTGTCATGGACATTCTGTTCTTGTCACATCGGTACTAATCTATCTCAGTTTTTCCTTTCTCTGGATGAAATATGAATACTTGGTAAATGTTTACTGTTTATCGTTCATATGAACTCCATTTCTTTATGCAATGGAATGAATAGCTTCATTATATTGGTTTAGTAGTGTGTAGAGTAGTATTCAGTATTCACAGAACATAGTCATCATTTTAATTAAGAGTTTAAGTTTGTTTACCCTTGAGAGGATAAGAGGTCTAAAAACTGCACAGAATTTGACACTCCATCAATTGGACCTTATAGTTTCTTATTAATTCTCAGTAACATGTTGAGCTAGTTAATAACTGATATTGATAGGCAGTAGTTTAGCCATTTTGGAGCTTTGTCAATCTCAAGCCAATAGTTTTTTCATCCTACAGAGCAAATAGAAGGCTGTTCCTTGACATCTTGTTTGTCAGGGAATTGGAGCCCTTCTGATATATACCTGAGATGTTTGAACTGTATGTAGAAATTGCTTAACAATTCTGTCCTTCATTAGTTAGTTCTGCTTAAAGCAAACATATGTTTTTATTATCAGCTAAATAATGAAGCAACACTGTACTTACTATGTTTTCATGCTAGGTTATTCTCGTACTCTGTGATTGCATCATAGGCTGAATCTATCGAATGAAAAGGCTGCTTCTAATCTTGGACTTGGACTTTCTATCATAATGTTACACAGGAATACGCAAACCTTCACCAGATTTTTACCTTCATGCCGTGGATCATCTCAATATCGATCCAGGAAACTGCATTTTCATTGATGACAGGTCTGGTATTTTTTATATTTAAATGGTTATTGTTGTGCGGCAATGTAAATTACTTGACATGTTTTGGATTTTTTTTGCTGCAGGATGGTAAACATTGAAGCGGCCCTTAGTGTAGGAATGGTCGGTTTGCATTTTAAAAATGCTGAGGCCCTAAAGAATGATTTGTGCTCACTGGGAGTTGAATTGGCACCTCTTGTGCTTGAAGATGAAACTGAAGTTCAGTAACATGGCTTCCTGTTTGGTCTTCTGCTCATGTAAGATTCATGCGTATGAATTATCCTTCTGTCTCTTTATGAACTACTCCGTATGTTAAAAGCTTGATGGGCTGTTATTGTCACAATATTATACTCCCTCCGTAAACAAATGTAAGACGTTTTAGGTCACTACTACATTATAAAAATATATAATATGTTAATTGTACATATGTACTCTGTAAACATAATTTATTAATAAAGGATAATAAAATGACAATTGCTTTTGGGAGTTGTGAAAGCTAACTTGGTACGTTTTGATGAGCTCAATCCAGGATGAAAATAAATCATGTTTAACCAAGTTTAAGTGTGGTGGTTAGTTGCTTAACTTATATGCAACTAAGCCAGCCAAACATGAGCACGACTCGACAATGGTAGATCATTCTGCATTCACTTCAGTACTTCCATCTATCAAAGCTTAGATGAGCCTTTGCGCCAATGAAGGCAAACAAACATTTTGTAATTAAATGAACAGTCGATCATTTATGTCTGCAACATGTTGTATTCAGATGGTAGTAAATCAGTCACGAGGCAGGGTCTTCGCCAATTCCATAATTACTTGTTTTAGTTGATGTCTTCGCCGATTCCTATACAGTGACTATAGCGCCTTTTTACCTTTTTTTCGGGTGACTTTAGCGCTGTTAAAAGGCAAACCGTATTAAGCACTCAACTCGTGATAAAGTGGGCCGGCCCATGAACATTGAACCGTTTTTGGTTTTGTGTATAGCGTCTAGCGGGTTTTGGCCAGTTTTTTTCATTTCTTTTTTCTTTTTCGTTTTATTTTTTTCTCTTTTCATTTGAAATTGTCAGAAATAATTAAATTACTAAACCTTTTTCAAATTCGAAAAAAAATTCAAATCCATAAAAATTTCAATTCAAGAACATTTTTGAAAATCTTAAACATTTTTCAAATCTGCAAGATTTTTCTGAAAATCCGCAAACTTTTTTCAAATTCACAAACTTGTTTCCTGAAGTTTTTTCAAATATGTAAAAAATGTTGGGGCAAACCCGGATAGCTCTCCACTCTCTCTCTCTCACTCACTCTGACGAACATGGAAGAAGGAGCATACTGATTTTTTTTCCGGTGCACAAACGTCTTGTCGCATGAATGGCATCTCAGCCGCATAAACAGCCTCACTTTTCTTTAAACTGGACACATACCCTAGCTCGGCCCATACCGTCACACTTACAACGAGTACACTGGGGGCTTTTTATACCCAAGCTAGCTCTCGATGCACACACTCACAAGCCAGCCATAATGCTGGGCGCCACTACGCGCACACACGCACTAACCGGCATTAGACCACTAAACCGTGCATGCATCCACTAACAAGATCACGATTGGAGGGCCGACGATGGATGATTATCTTGCATGGAATTTCACCAATGATGGTGTCTTCACGGTGTGGTCGGCATACCACTTGCGGATGACCCAGAAACAACTGAAAACGGGCCGACCGGAAACATCATCTAGCGTGGCGGAGCACAAGTCGCGGGTGAGCTTATGGGACACCGTAGCTCCGGGAAAGGCTAAAACGCATATGTGGCGGCTCATTCGGAATGGGCTAGCCGTCGGAGCTGAACTTCAGAGGAGGAAAATCAAAGACGGGGTGTGCTGTGTAGCATGTGGGAGGAAAGAAACCAACTACCACATATTCTGGGGTTGTTTCCACTCAGCGAAGTTTTGGAAGATGATGCGATCGAAGATGGGGGTGCCGGTGGCGATCCCGCCGGAGTCAGTTAGCCCCCAGACTGCATTATCAAAGTGGCTCTTGACCTGGTTTGCTGAGGCATCCGACGATGCAAAAGCTATCCAGGTGATGTGGACATAGCTATCATAGAAACGTCTACAAATATTACATCACAAATTATTAACCAGGTACTTTTGTTTCTTTGGACATATTATTTAACTCGCAGAAATATGATATTACACTCATGTTGCGATTTACTTATACTTAGGAATAAAAGAATAAAAGAAGCAAGAGACTACTATGCCTTAAAACCAGATGGAGCAATCCATGCATGCATGCGCTCCATCATCCTTGCATGCATGCCCGCCGTACCATCCATTACACCCCATCCCATCATCGATGTCACGTGGAGTGCACATGAAACAAAGGCCTTTTGATTTGAATCCGTTGATCAGTATCAGCGATGTGGGCCATGTATTGTGGGCTGCGCCAAGTCTCCTCACATCAGGGCCAGCAGCTTCGGCCTTTGTACTGTCCAACTCGTGCACAACTTCCCTCGATCAGCAGACCGGCTGGAACACATCTAACGTACTCGTTTGCGTCTGTACCTCTTTAATAAATAGCTAGTCTAGGTTAGGATTTAGACTCAGGTTTTGTTTAGAGAAGTTTAGCTATTGCTATTTTTATTTGTCTTCGCTCGTAGCGGCTAGTGCGACCGTCAAGACATCCTATCGGAACCCCATCTTGTGAGATTAATCCCATCTAGCATATTCGCAATTTTGAGATTGCTTGGCTATTATTTTCTTGCATGTTCTTCGATTTGCTTGCAGGAAAAATCCTTCGTGGATAGGTCGATCGCGCCGTTGGCTCGGTCGATAACGCCGTGGAGTTGGTTCAACGATTGCCATGGATATCAGTCGTGTACGGTTCTTCCTGTACGGTTGGTAGCCAGATCGTGAGCATCAAGTCCCACCCAAAATCGTAGTTATCCTCTCTCATCAAAAGATCGGGTCCCAGTGCACATCAAGTGGTATCAGTTTTCAGGTTCATCGGTGAGAGATTTACAATTTTCTTAGATTAGATTGATTTTAGTCCTACAACCCACAAAAAGCCAAAAAAAATTAGATTAGTTCATCCGCTGCACCTACCTTTTTAGCCTCTAGCAATTTTTGCATCTAGTATTTGTGTAGTTGAATTTTTGGTTGCATTCATCTAATACTAGTGCTGGTCTAGATTAGTCCGAGAGCAAATTATCTACTAGATCGACTTTGTTTTTGTCCACCATATTTTCTGCCACACCAATCCATCCGCCGCGCACCGTCTACTTGATCTGCTAAGTTTACATGTTTGTCGCACACGCACCAACTGCACCTGTACACCACGTCTCATCCGCCTTAAAAATTGCTCCGCTGCTGCCGCGCGCACGTCCCAGATTCCGGCCACTAGACAGGGAACATCTCGAGAAGTTTTTTTGTTCATATCTTTTCTGCCTGCGCGTCACCCTAGCCTTCTGCCAACAACTCGTTTTTCATCACACATCAGTCTATCCATCTGCCATCGTATGTACGCCTCAGCAAATTACTCCGACCCCACACGCCCACCTGTGCGCAGCTGCTCCCTATGCTCCTTGGCGCCGCTTAACTGCTGTCTGCTTTGTGCATCACTAGCCAGTACTACTGTTAAACGTTTGGAGTTGCCTACCTACGCATCTGACACTTCATTAATCTCCTATATCTCCAGTAGTACAATCAGGTCGCTTCTAGTAGCACACTCTGGTTTAATCCTGTTATCCTCTTGTTACGTGTGTATACTTGTTGGTAACCGGCCTGGTCAAAGGAAAAAAAAAGAGAAGAAAGAGCAAAAAAAGAAGGAAAGAGCAAGAAAAAAAAGAGGAAAAAAATTGGAAAAAAAAACAGAGAAGAAGAAGTAAGACAAAAAAGTTCAGGCCGGTTAGCATCTTTTGGAATATCTTTTATTGTCCAGAAACTTTACTTTGTTCGTATACGTGATATCTGCTGGACATTTTTCTGCTCTAGGTTTTCATACACTGCCATTTATACCTCACTTATATCTAGCTATTTAGAGCTGTCATATTTTCACCGGCTTCCACTCATTTGATTCAATATCTGGGATTAGATTATTTTATCTCTTACTAGTCGACTGCCAGGACTAGTTAGAAATTTGAGCAATTATTCAACTTGCATTGCTTTTTGCTAAATTATGCCACTGATATTGTGAGTTGAGAAACCTTTGCCAAGCTACACTTTTTCTACCAATAAGTACAGGTTCCGGCTCTACTGATTCCTGGTTATCGCTCCATCCAATCTTCATCGGTAGTTTGAAGCCAACACCAACGCGCCGATCACCACCTGTTGCATTGGTAAGAACAAGTAAGAATTTGATACTAAGTTTGAGTGTGAGCGAATTTTGTCCACCACATCCTGTTAGTTGATAGGGATTATACATTGTGTTTTTTTCCTCTTTCGCTAACAATGGCACAGGATCAACCAACACTTGAGGGCCTCACCGCGGATGTGAAAGTCACCAGCGAGCGTCTCGCCCAACTTGAGGGTGCTCAGATTGCGGCCGAAGAGAGGCTCAAGGCCATAGAGGATGCACAGGGTGTTGCGAACACACAGCTAAAGGACATCTTGTCATGTCTTGACGAGTTGCGGACTGCAACCCCTATCAACAACAACGCGGATCCTCGCAACTCCACGGGTGGCGCCGCTACTTCGCGAGCTCGACGTGTGCCCATGGGGCATCCACAACACCCAGCTACTGCCACTGATGCCGCCACCATAAACCAACACCAACAAATTCCTCCCCGCGTCGAGCAACATGGGGACAACTATGAGGATTATTCTGGTGACACAGAAGACGACCAAATGGTCAACCACCATAATGATCGTGCTCATCGACAACTACGTTTCAACCGTCAAGGTATGGCACGAGGTCCACATTGGTATGATGTTCGAGATTATGACCACTCTAGTGCTAAAATTAAATTCACTATGCCTGCTTTCAATGGTAAATATAATCTAGATGTCTATCTTGATTGGGAACTTTCTGTTGAACAAAAATTTGCATGTCATGATATTCCTGAAAACCAACGAGTTAGGGCAGCCACTAGTGAATTTACAAACTTTGCTTCCATGTGGTGGAGTGAATATTGTCGTATTAATGCAAATAATATACCTACTACTTGGGATGCTTTAAAACGAGCTATGCGACAACGTTATGTTCCTTCATATTATGCTTGTGATAAACTAAATGAATTGTA